CACAAAATCTTGTACCTGAAGTGTTCCCAGCATTGTTCATAACAGCCAGGGAGTGGAAACAATCCAAACGTCCATTAACTGATGAATGGAGAAATAAAATAGGGAATATGCTAAGTAAAAGGAATCAGTCAAAAACAAATAAAAGACACTGGCAGAGTGGCTCAAGCAGTAGAGCACCTGCCTAGCAAGTGTGAGGTCCTGAGTTCAAACCCCGGTACTAAAAAAAAACACACACACACACACATATAAAGGAACCAGTCACAAAAAGCTACTTACTGTCTGGTACTTATATGAAAAGTCTGCAGAGACAGGAAGTTAGTGGTTGCCTGGAGGTAGGGCCTGAGGATATTGGGAGGGGTGGGGAGTGACTGGTAAAGGTACAGTCAGGGTTTCTTTTGGGGATAGTGAAAATGTCCTAAAACTGATTATGATGCTGGTTGCACACTCTGTGAGTACAAACCATTGAATTACATGCTTTAAATGGGTGAATTATATGTCATGTGTATTATATCTCAATAAAGTTGTAACCAAGGGGGGTGGGTGTGTAGCTTAGTACAGAGCACTTGCCTAGCATGCAGGGACCCAGGTTAGATCTCCCACACTGAAAAAATCCAAAAATAATTACCAAAAAATTAAAAAGAATTGATGATTAGATTTAGCAATGTGGAACAACTCCACCAAACCTGATAAAAGTGTGTTCCAGAGAGAACAGAGAGTTGGGCATGGAGGTACATACTTGTAATCCCAGCATTTGGGAGGTGGAGACAGGAGGATTGTGAATTCAAGGCCATCCTAGACTACATAGCAAGACCCTGGAGAGAGGGCTGGGGGAGAAAGAGAGAGTGAGAGAGAGAGGGAGAAGGAGGAGAGAGAGAGAGAGAAAAGAGAGAGAGAGAGGAGAGAGAACAGGGGAACTGAAGGCAGCAACTGTAGACATTTTCAGTGTTGCTACATCTGGAGAAATGCAGTAGGTGAGGAAAGGTTAAGAAAGTTTCTTGGGGGTTTTGTTGTGTTTTTTAATTTTAATTTTAATTTCTGTTGGTACTGGCAGGGCCTACACCTTGAACCACTCCACCAGCCCTTTTCTGTGATGGGTTTTCTTTGAGATAGGATCTCAAAAACAATTTGCCAGGGCTGGTCAGCAACAATCCTGATCTCTGCCTCCTGAGTGGCTAGGATTACAGGTGCCTGGCTAAAAATTTTCTTCATTTTTTTTCTCTTTGGAGGCACTGGAGTTTGAACTCAGGGCCTCATGCTGGCTAGACAGGCATTCTTACCACTTGAGCCACTCTGCCAGCCTCAAAATTTTTTGAGATGCAAGAAATTATGTTTTAGTGCAGATTGGAATATCCAGTCAGCAAGAGGAAAAGTTGCTGGAACGCAGTTCTTCAGCAGGTGAGAAGATGGAGCGAGGCCTCAGACAGGAGTAAGCAGGGTGTATTCCCAAAAGCTGGAGGGAAGGCCTAGGGCCAGGCAGAGGGGTGGAGCAGGTGAGGAGAGCGGGAGAAAATGTTCTTCAGATTATTCTGTTTTCTCAGTGAAACAGGAAGCAAGGTCATCAACCAGAGGAGGATACGGAGGAGCTGCTGGGGACTGAGGAGAGAAGAGAAGGTAGGGCCCTGTCCAGTAGATCGGGGGCAGAGTGAAAGACTGTGTCACCTGGCAGGATAACCAGACAGCACCGCACACCCTCGGGTGGTGGGCCTGATGTTCAGGTGAGATCAGCCAGCAGGGCTGTGTCCCTCTCCAGCTTCAATCAGTTGCGTGGGATTAGCCAGGGTGTGGTTTTGCCAGGTGGATGCAATTTAATGAGCAGGGAGCAAGGGGTTGAGGGCGTAGCAAGATGTAATTACAGCGATGGTCCATAGACTCTAAGCTGGTTAAGGAAGAAAGTCAAGGACATGAGGAAGTGAGGAACACTGACCAGAGTAGAAGGATAAGTGGCTGAAGGTGCTGGTGGATCAAAGATCTGTTGGAGTTGGAGCTCTCCAAGTGAGCAGAAAAGATGGGAGGTGATGTTGATATTAAAATTATGCAAGGTAGGGGTACAATTATTGGTAATGAGAAGGTCCATTACCTGGGGCGTGAGCACATGGAGTAGGATGGAGGCCAAGACCCACAGGAGGAGGGGATGGGTGAGCCCTGTAAGGAACGGGAGGGTCACCTGTATGTAACTGAGCTCCCTACGTCATCCTCAGGCAGGGTCCCACATAGGACATGGGCCTGGGATTCGGCAGAACCTGGGTGAAGTCTCTCTTTCCCACTGTGGGGCCCTGCACAAATTCCTTCATTTCTCTGGCCTCAGTTTCCTCTCCTACAAAGTGGGAGATCATGCCTGCTCTGAAAATGGAATGGGACTGTGGAAAGCATCAGGTGCCATTCCAGGCACAGAGCACGCTCAGTGAAGCAGGCTTATGAAGGAGCTGCATGTCAGTTCCCAGAATGCTCCCCTCTGGGGTCCCAGAGCTGAGGAGGAGCCAGTGTGAGGATAAAAACTCACCCCAGACCCCGTCTTCCTCCCCATCACCTCAAATCATAGAAAATGTTCATGGAAGAGCCTGACTCCATTTTACAGAATAGGAAACTGAGGTCCTGATAGGGAAAGTGACTGACCTATATTGTAGAGAGGAAGTTCCTTTTAAAATTGGTTGGAGTCGAGGGGGTGGGGGCAGGGGGGGAGAAATGACCCAAGCCTTGTATGCACATATGAATAATAATAAAAAAATAAAATAAAATAAAATTGGTTGGAGTCATAACTAAGATGGGAAGTTTGTACAGGGGTCTGGGGGAGGATCATACATAACACTGGGAAACCAGCTGTGCCTATGAGGATGTACCCCAACACTCTTCTCCATTCACTGGGACAACTCAAAGCTAATCTTGGTGAAAACAAAAGATCCTAGTGGGTATCCTCCTGCTCCTCTCAGCGTCCTATGTTCCCAAGTCACCCCACCTCCACTGTGCAAACATGGCAGCCATCTGCTTTGGGAATGGAAGTGCCCACAGAAGGGTGGTTCACAATGCCCGCATTTGCGAATTGCTCTTCCTAGCCCAGGCAGAAGGAGAGGAAAAGAGAGCTCAGAGTTTCGTTGGAAAATTCGATTCAAGTGGGGAGGGTGGACACAGTAACAGTAGGCCCCGTGAGGCCTGCCCCTCATGGTTTCCAGTCCTGGCTGGTCTGCCTGGGATAAACTCCTCCTGCTTTCTGTACCTAGTTTCCCTATCTGTAAATTGAGAAGAGGAAGAAGAAAATGATTGTTAAATGTCCTCCTAACTGGAGCCTTCAGCGTTCCGGGAATGTGTAGCCTGCTGCCTTGGCTGCTCAAGGATCCATTGGCAGAAGTAGATTCACTTCATTAGGAAGGCCTTTGCAGGAGTGCAGCATCTCACCATGTCTGTCTCTCTCTCTTTCTCTCTCTCTCTCTCTCCTTATCTCTCATGACACTTTTATTTTCTCCTTAGCACTATCTGAAAAGACTTATTTGATTACTTCACTATTGTCTTTCTACATTAGAAAGTTCTAGAAGGACAAGGACCTTGACTGTCCTATCTCTCAGGGCCTAGCCTGGCCCCTGTTTCACAGTAGGTGCCCAGTACATCCGTGTTGACTAAAGAATGGGAAAATGAATGGATAGATCTTGCAGGTGGTGCTGGGGCTATGCCAACCATGACGCTGTGACCTGTGCCAGCTCTTCTAAGAGAAGCAGTTGAAGAAAATTGGGCGCTGGAGTCAGGAGACCTAAATTTGAGCCCCATGGTGCTAATTAGTGGTTGAATGACTGTGGCTGTATCATTTGACCGTTCTACCCTCGGTGTCTTCATCTGCATAGTGAGAACAACCATCTACATCCTGAGGTGTAGTTTTAGGAATTACAGGTCATGTATGTAACATGATCTGGTGCATAGTAGGTAAACTTTAATGTCCTTTTTCCCATCTCTGCTGGGACCCAGCTTTTTTTTTTCTTTTTTTGGTGGAACGGGGGTTTGAACTCAGGGCCTCAGACATGCTATACACATTCTACCACTTGAGTCACTCCTCCAGTCCTGTTTATTTTTGAAATGGGGTCTTGCTAACTCTTTTGTCAGGGCTGGTTTGGAACTGTGATCCTCCCGATCTCCATCTCCCAAGGCATGAGCTACCACACCTGGCTTCTTATCAGTTTTTCTTATCATCAAAAGAAGGTAAAACAAAATGGCAAGCCACTGCACTAAGAGTGGAAGGCGCTTGCCCAAGGGCACACAACCAAGCAGTGGATCCCCTCTCTGAGGATCAGAGAAACCCCTTAGGCTTCCAGGATGGAGGGAGGGAGGGGCAGCATGTAGCCTGGGCTGACTTCCAGCAATAGGGAATGGATACTCTGGTCAGGGCTGTAGGCCCAGGTGTGTCAGAGTCAGGCTGGTAACTATGGGATGTAGCTTGCTGTTTCTAGGTCTTGGTTTCTCCTTTGTAAGAGTATTTAAGGAAAAATATCATAGTGATGAATCAAATAGACTAAATTTCTGAATTTTTGCCACACCACTTATTGTTAAAATCAGAAAAAAAAAAAAAAGATTCAAAAGTAACCATAGGGCTGGGGGTGTGGCTCAAGTGGTAAAGGGCCTGCCTTTTAAGTGCAAAGCCCTAAATTGAAACCCCAGTACCAACCCCCCACACAAAAAAGTAACCGTAGTAAGTTATCTCATTCTCTAGGCTCTGTAAAATGGAGGAGAAAATACATATTGTCCATCCTCCAGCCCCGTCAAGGCCCTGGGTCTGTGTGGGTGCAGTGGAAAAGGATGATTCTGTACCAGTGGTTCACGACCAGAACTGGCACTCATATGCTGTGTGGTGTTGGGGGAATAACACCCCCTCTCTGAGCATATTTTACCTCACCTAAACTGGTTCAGGAACGCAAGCCACGCCATGCTTTGCAACGGCCTCGAAATCAAGAGAGTACGTTAGAAGGCATCGACCTCATTTCACAGACCTTTCCTCCACTGTGGAAAACTGCCGGGGAACAGGAGGCGCGCTGTGTGGATCTGAGCAAGTGGAGCAATCTCTTGAGGCTTCGAAAGACAGCGATGACCAGACCAGGTGATTTTTCTATTTCTTCCAGTACAAGGGGGAAAGAAAATTAAATTGAGATTTCTTACTGCTCTGACTCCGCTACAAACTCTACACACTTCCCTCCCGCCTGCCCCTAGAGGGCGCAGTCCCTTTAAGTGCAGGCTAGCCGGAGCCAATCACATTTAGCAGAAGTTCTTTAAAGACCAAAGGAGGTTATTCGGCCTGAGAAGGAGGGCAGAGCAAGGGCGTGCCTTCCAGCCAATCGGAATCCTCTTGGAGAACACTGACTCACGTGCGAAGCTCTACTGACCAATGGTAGGGCGTCGGGAGGCGGGGCGGCTCCCGCTGTTTGACAGCTGGCCTGACCAATGGCTATGCCGCCCGCGGTCTATAAGAGTCAGCTGGACACCCGCAGACAGACTCTCCAGGGTCGGTTAGTCGTCGCCGTCGGAGGTGTGCCCCGGGCTTGTCTCACCGTCTTGCCGCCCGGTCCCTGCATCCCCGCCCCTAGCCGCTCTCTCTGCCCTCCTCCCCTTAACCACCCCCGGGTTTCTGCCGTCTAGGCCCCGGGGTCCAGCGAATGATGCCTTCGGAGAGCGGAGCTGAGCGCCTGGATGGGGCGGCTGCACAGGTGGGAACGGCTGTGGCCTCGGCAGTGACCACGGCTGCCCCGGCAGGCGGCGGCGCCGACCCGGAGGCTTCATCGGCCTCCCCAGGACGGCACCTGAGCAGGCTGGGCTGGCCACAGGTGAAGCGGCTGGACGCACTCCTGAGCGAGCCGATTCCCATTCACGGGCGCGGTAACTTCCCCACGCTGAGCGTGCAGCCCCGGCAGATTGTGCAGGTGAGAGGCCGCTGGACAGGGATGAGCTCTAGCCTGGGGGGTCTCGTGGCTGGAAGTCACGTGGAGGCTGCTGGATTTGCTAGACAGCCAGGGAAAAGGAGGAACGGGAACAGGGGCTGCAACAGTTGCACAGCACGCTAACACTACACCAGACCTCTTCCTCCCGTACCTTTCCCTCCTTGCGTTCCGGTCCCCGCCTCTAGAGAGCCCTGATTCCCTGAGGACCACTCCTCAAGACCCAGGCTGAGAGAGGGATGGGGATTGAGGAAGGACTTGCTTACCTGCAAGCAACAGAAAGATGTCAGGCAGCCTCTGATGTGTGTGTGTGCGCGCTTAGGTCCAAAATAGCTTTTCCTTTTTACCCGGCATCCCTGGACTTCCTCCCCCTTCCCTTCCTCAAGGCTCTAGGGGCACTATATCCTTGTGTTCCCACGGCCCTTGGTTCAAGAACCCCTAACTAGCTGGAAAAGCCCAGAAATCCCAGAAGAGACTCTCTTTCTCACTGGGGTTGTGGCAGATGGAGATTAAGCACTAGACCAAACCTGAGACTCCCCCAACCCTGAGAGCAACATAAAGTGTCCAGTTTAGGGGTCCCTCCCCTTCCCAAGGTTGGAAATGAAAGCCACCTCTGGCCTCACACTCCAAACTTGGTGTCTCTCCTAAGGAACAGGAGGTGAGAATTCTGCCAGTCCCTCCCTCCTTCAGACTCAACTCCTCCTTTTACCTGATCCTCTATGACCCCAAACTGCTCTTTCTCCATATAGCCCAGGCTCTGCCGTGTTCCGAAATACCAGAGGATGGTAGCTATTATACCCATGTGATAGCTGAGGAAGCTGAGGCCTCCAGAGGGGGAAGTGAGCTCCCTAAGATTACCCAATGAGGTGAAAATCAAACCCAGAGAATCTTGGGCCTTTCAGGAAGCAGATCGCTACAAAGTCAAGGTTTTCACACACCTTTCCTGGCTCCCAAGCCAAGGTCTAGGTCTTAGGGGAATATCCTGATGGAAATTAGAAAATCTAGTGAGGGTTTTGTGTGTCCTGCCAGCCAGTGGACTTTTCATACAAGCTGGATGGGGCAGGTCATTCCCTTGCCTCCTACTACTTCAGCCTCCAGCAGAGGGGGAGAAAAAGGTGGCCTGATGGGGGATTGCCTTGCCCTCCCTTCGAAGGAACAAGGAATAAGCTGGAGGGGGTGGGAGTGAATTCTCTAGGACTGACTCACTCAGTGGAGCTGTCTAAGGCATTCCTTGCTGCCCGCTGTCATCTGGGTGATTTGTAAACCAGCTGAGGCTTTTTTGTTTTGTTTTGTTTTGTTTTGTGATGGGGTCTTGCTGTGTTGCTGGGGCTAGTATTGAACTCATGGGCTCAGGTGATTCTCCTACCTCAGTCTTCAGAGTGGCTGGGACTGCAGATGTAGGCACTATGCCAGGCTTTTTATTCCCAGAACATAGGGTCACCCCTGGGGTCCCAGCTGCTGCATCTTCAGCATTATGGCCTCATGCATGAGGGGAAGGGAAGGTGTGACAGCTCCCACCTGAATAAGTATAATCTAAACTACCTTTATTGATGACTGCTCTGTGCAGAAAACTAGGGACTCAGATGTGACTAGGAGCCAGCCACATTGCCTTCAGGTACTCCCAGCTAGGTGGGAGATGCCGAGTCAGTAAGAGCTGACTTCACTATATGACAGTGGTAGTTACAGTGTCCTTCTAGACTAGGGCCAGAGACATCACAGAACAGGGAGCCATCAACTGGAGTGGGAGGGGTCGCAGAGATTTCAGATCTAGACTGAGAGTTTGGGAATCTGGGTTCAGGGCCTGGACTGTTGTCTCTGTGGGGTTTGGTGTCCCCATCTGTTCAATAGGGGTGCATTCAATTGCTCATCACTACCCTTTCTGGTTCCAGACTCCAAAAAGAGTCTGGCTGTATAGCCACTTCCAGAGGGAAGAAAATCTGTCTCCTGGCAGGGATCTGTAGCTGGCAGCTTTGAGAGCTGCTGGGATGTGGGGGGGAGGGAAGAGAAGCTGGTCAGGGCTCTTACCAGAGCTGAGTTGTCTCATAGGTCAGAAATTGGAAGCTTTCTGCCTCTGCACCCCACAAGGTTTTGCCTACAGCAATGATCATACATCTTGGGCTAAAGGAACCCACGCTCTCAAGGAACCCCCTTGCCTGTACCTCTGGAAGACCTAGTTCTAGTTAAGCTCAGCCACTTCTTGGCTGTGTGACCCTGGACAAGTCCTGTGCCCTTTCTGGGCCAGCGACTTGAACTAGACAATCTGATCTCTCCAGCTGCAGCCAGAGGGCTTGCCTTATGTGGCTCTGTCAGGAATTTTGTGAGTCTGCTGACTGATAGTGCTTAGTCTTCCTGAGGTCTGAGTAGCCATCCTGGAGCAGAACAGTTCTGAGAAGACCCTTGGCACAGGAGAAAAAAGGGTACAGTCACTGCCCCCTCCACAGCTAATTCAAGAGGCTCCAAGCTGCCCTGCAGAGCTTGGGTGTGGCGGTATCTGGGGACCGCCTGTCAAACTGGCTGTAGTCACACCTGGGAAAGAGACAACAGCCGCTGGCTGGCTGACACAGCTGGCCCCATGGCCCTGACGCAGGGGATTTAATGAGGGTACTGCTACCTACTCACCAGGCCAGATGCCATGCCCTGTAGTGGGCACCAGCCTGGGAGCAGGCCCTGGCACTGAGTAAGGCCCAGTCAGCTCTGCTGGGACTCAGGGAGGAGGCTGGTCTGCTCTGTAGGCCTAGCAGGGTCCTTGGACCAAAGTCTTTGGCTCACTTCTCTCATTGTCTACCTGGGCACAGCTGCCAGGGTATACATTAGAAGTTCCACAGGCTGGACTGCAGCAACTGGCCCTTCTGGCCAAGATCTCCCCAACCCCCACCTTCCTGATCCCCAACTACTCTATCTTGGGGCCTCAGTGATGTACGACTCACCCTTACTTTGAAATTTTCAAAGGGAAGGAGGATTGGAACACTAGTGTCTAGTCTCTGCTTGTGAGCCTTGGGACTGAATGCTCTAAAAGGGATAGAGGACTGCCAGGTGCCGGTGGCTCACGCCTGTAATCCTAGCTGATCAGAAGGATTGCGGTTTGAAGCCAGACTAGGCAAATAGTTCCACAAGACCTCATCTCAAAAAACCCTTCACAAAAATAGGACTGGTGGAGTGACTCAAGGTGAAGGCCCTGAGTTCAAGTCCCAGTACCACAAAAAAAAAAAAAGGATAGAGGACTGACAGAGTGGCTTAAGTAGTAGTAGTAGTAGTATGATGGGTAGCAAGCATGAGACCCTGAGTTCAAACCCCAGTACTGCTAAAAAAAAAAAAAAAAAAAAAAAAAAGATTGGGCTGAGGTGTAGCTCAGTGGTAAAGAATGTGCTTAGCATGCAGATCTGTGGGGTCCATCTCCAGCACTGCAAACGAACAAAAAAGGGACGGCCTTTGGAGCCAGCCATACCTAGGTTTCAAGGTACCTCTTTGTGATCTTTTTTTTCTGTTTTGTGGTTTTTAAAGGATCACAATTTTTTCCCCAGTGTTGGTGATCAAAGCTCACAAATGCAAGGCAAGTACTCTACCACTGGCCTATAGCCCCCAGCCCCACCTCTGTGTGATCTTAACCATGTAACTTCACTCAGTGAACCTCAGTTTCCCCATCTATAACAAGATCATAAAGACCTGTCCCCCAAAGATTTTTGGAGGGATGCTAGGAATTGAACCCAGGGCCTTGCATGTGCTAAGTATGCTCTGCTACTGAACTACACCCCAGCCCCACAAAGATTCTGGTGAGGCTCAGTGCCTGGCATTCAGTTGGTGCCTAACCACTATGTTCCTTTCTTCTCCACCCTAATGTTCCTGATGGCCAGTTGCTCCCCCCAAACATACACACCCCATTGCCATGACAACTCCTCCAGGAAGTCTACCTGAAGGGAGCCGCCCGCCTCAGATTGCCCCACAGCAGCTTGCCTCCTCAGCACTTAGGTGCATTCTTTGCAGTAATTCCCTGGGAGGCAGGAGAACAACCCGCCCCAGAGCTGGGCGCTGACTTGGCAGCAAGGTGGGGTTGCAGAGTCACTAAGGGCAGGAATGCTGCCTGGTCACTTTCAGGACTGTGTGTGAAGTATTTGGGGCTGCTAAGAACACCAAATGTCCACGTCCGACCCCAGCTCCACTCTTCTCCCCATCCGGTACTGTAGCCTAAGGTGACACCTCCAGGTAAAGACCAGGTTCAGGAAGATTTGTAGGTTTACCTGTCTTGGTCCTGTGTCATTGTTGTAGGGCTCTCAGGCAGAATCCTCCATTTCTTCGCACTTGGCTTAGAAGGCTTCCTGAGATCTTGTCCCCTCCCTTCTCCCAAAAGTGTGAAGGGTATGGCTTTAACTCCCTAATGGCTTTTCCTTTGAGCCTTAGTTGTTTTACCACTGGAAGCCTCAGTTTTTTCACCTATAAAATGGGTATAGTATTTGTCTCTTTGGATCCTTGTAAGGATGAAATAAGATGTGTGTGTGTTTGTGTGTGTGTGTGTGTTAATCAAAAGAACATGCACAGACTTAAGAATCCAACCAACATGGGATCTACTCTCAGCCTGGCTATTCTGTGTCCTTGGACATGTTTTTTAACCTCTGTGCCTCAGGTCTCCTGTCTGTCAATTGGAACAGGATTATTGTGAGGACTGACGTGTTAATGCATGCAACCTACTAACTTTTTCATTGTCATTGAATTTCTGACTGTATTCCCAGCATATCTGAGCAGTTAACACGATGTCTGGCACAATTCTAAGTGTTCTGCTTACAGTTTTAGAGAGGTAGAACAGCATGGTGGTTAAGACATAGACTCTGTCTGAGTTTAATTCCCACTTAGGCATTCACCAGCTGAGTGACTTTGAGCAGTTTTTAGGCCCCTCTATGCTTGTTTCGCTATCTGAGGTGGGGGTAATCGTACGTATATCATTGGGTTATTGTGAGGGATTAAGTGAGTTTATATCTCAGTGCATAAAGTACTTCAGTCAGGGCCTGGTGCTTAGTAAATTCTGTGCTTGTGTTTGATACTATTATTGCTGTTCGTGGAGTCACTCCTTCAAATGGGCCATTCCCCAGATTGGCAAATCAAGGGTTAGAAAGTTAAATGGACACAGGGCTGGAGAGGATTTCCTGGAAGTCCTTAGTGCAGACCTGAGGAGCCCCAGCATCTAACACCCCTCTCTCCTGCCCTCCCCTCCGCAGGTGGTCCGAAGCAGCTTGGAGGATCAGGGACTACGAGTGCACAGTGTGCGACTGCACGGCTCTGCTGCCAGCCATGTGCTGCATCCTGAAAGTGGCCTTGGCTACAAGGACTTGGACCTGGTGTTCCAGGTGGACCTGCACAGCGAGGCATCCTTCCAGCTGACCAAGGCAGTGGTGCTGGCCTGCCTGCTGGATTTCCTGCCGGCCGGGGTGAGCCGGGCCAAGATCACACCACTGACACTCAAGGAGGCGTATGTGCAGAAGCTGGTGAAAGTGTGCACGGACACGGACCGCTGGAGCCTCATCTCGCTGTCCAACAAGAGTGGCAAGAACGTGGAGCTCAAGTTTGTGGACTCGGTGAGGCGCCAGTTCGAGTTCAGCGTCGACTCCTTCCAGATCATCCTCGACTCCCTGCTTCTCTTTGGCCAGTGCTCATCCACACCCATGTCTGAGGCCTTCCACCCCACTGTGACAGGGGAGAGCCTATATGGGGACTTCGCTGACGCCCTGGAACACCTGAGGCACCGGGTCATCGCCACACGCAGCCCCGAGGAGATCCGTGGCGGCGGCCTCCTCAAGTACTGCCACCTCCTGGTGCGAGGCTTCCGGCCACGGCCCAGTACTGATGTACGAGCCTTGCAGCGGTACATGTGCTCCCGCTTCTTCATCGACTTTCCCGACCTGCTGGAGCAGCAGCGCACTCTGGAGCGCTACCTGGAGGCCCACTTCGGCGGGGCAGATGCAGCCCGCCGGTACGCCTGCCTGGTGACACTGCACCAGGTGGTCAATGAGAGCACTGTGTGCCTCATGAACCATGAGCGCCGCCAGACGCTGGACCTCATTGCCACACTGGCGCTCCAGGCACTGGCTGAGCAGGGCCCTGCTGCCACTGCTGCCTTGGCCTGGCGCCCTCCAGGCCCTGATGGGGTTGTGCCAGCCACTGTCAACTACTATGTGACCCCGGTGCAGCCTTTGCTGGCTGGTGCCCACTCCTCCTATCCCACCTGGCTGCCTTGCAACTGACTCAGACCCTGGCCACAAAGGACTGGGCCTCATGAGGTGGGGCATTGTCACCAGGAGTATGTGGACAGTATAACCAGAGACAGGCCACCTCTGCCAGCTGGCCCAGCACTGCTGCAGGGTTGGGCCTTTGATTGAAAAGACCAGACTTCCCTGAGTGAGGCCCCTGTGGGCTTAAGGCCAAGCTGAGCTTCTTGGCAGAAGAACCCTTTGGTCATTGCACCCTACTTTTGGACCAGCATGATTGAGGGGTGCAGGGGCTACTTGTCTTGAGGGTTGATTGCCTCCAGGAGACAAAGCACATATGGGTGGTAGTCTCAATTCCTCACACCTTGGGTTAATTTCCACTCTAGAAAGGGTCCTTTTGACTCGGGTCAAGGATTCCAGCAGCCCCCAAGAGCCTACAACCCACACACTGGCTAAATATGGTGTTGTGACAGGGACTATTCACTTTGGGCCAGATTGGACCACTAACAGAGCCTGGTGGTCCAACCTGGCTAATCACTGGGAAGAGGGAAACTGAAGCATGAGGCAGATTCCTGGGTGTGGGGACAAATGGGTTTAACCCAATCTCCTGAAACCTGTACCCCAAGCTGTGAAGCAGTCTTCCTCTTGAGGGGTCAAGGTGTGCAGAGGAAAGGTACCAAGTAACCAGGGTGGGTTGCAGCCCACACCCCTCCCAGTGTGACACCCCTTCTCTTGTGTTGTAAGGAGCCCTGCTGCCCGGAAACTTGTGTTGGAGGGTGCTGGGCCTAAATGTGCCACAGTCAAGTAGAGTACACCTACCCCGCTGGCTTGGTTATAGGACTCTCACATTGTAGGAAGGGGACCCACCCCCCTACCACCTTTTCCATTCCTCAGGATTTGTTGCTATTTTGCACTCTTAACACCCACCAATAAAGATTGTCTACACTGACCCTAGTAGTGTGCTTTCTCCAAGGAGAAGGACCTCTGTGGCTGTAGGGGCTGCCTTTGCCTCTCCAGTCTGAGTTTGACTTGTATTGTAGGAGTGACAACAGGGGTGGGACTTGAGATCTGGGCATGGCTGAGGGAATGGCCCCTCCTTCCCTCCACACCAGCCCCAACCTGACAACTATGAACTGGAGCTGTGTCTACATGTGTGACCTGCCTGTTGCCTTGGCAAGTCTAGAACTCTCCTGTTAAAGAGGAAATATGTCAACGTCTCCAGGGGTCCAATAGCTCCAGACCTGGCTCTGGTGTTCAGTTCTGCTTGACTCCTGCTATGCCCATCCCATATCTCCCCAGGAAGCAAGTGGAGAACAAGGGGGGTGAATCTGGACTGGAGACCTCTCCAGTAATGGAATCCCCTAGAATCCAGGCCTCTCTGTGCTCTGGCTGTCAATAGATCCCTCGGAAGGGCAGGGTCTCTCCGAACCCAGCTGGGAACATGCCAAGCTATTTGGGAGTGCCAGCTGGAAGCTCAGGGAGCTATTCCCTCAGGCCATCAGCCACTCACCCCTGGACGCTGCCCACTGTTTACCCTGCCTCTTTGATCCAAGGACTGCAAAGCCCTTAACACATTCAGCCTCATTAGGGGCTTCTGAAGTGGTGACTTTGATGGTTCCAGTCAGGGTGGAAAAAACAAGGCCTCAGAAGAGGCCTCAGGTCATCAGGGTGAGTCCAGCTACCTCACCTGCTCTGTGCATCCGGTTAGGTACCCCAGGTCCCCTTTGCTGATGAGCTCTAAATGACTGGAAGGGCAATTGGGAAGGCTTCCCTTGACTGAAAAAAAGAGTTCTCATTCCATTCCAGCTGTGCCCACCCAACTAGGGTTGTGGGAGTGACAGTTTGTCCGCCTCCTGATTTGGTCATTTGAGCTTGGGCCTGAGGGGGATACTCAGTGTAAACACAGCTGGCTCAGCTTATTGGGGTTCACCTGCCTGTGCTTGGTTTTAGGGTGAGAAAACCAGAAACTGGTGTGCCCTGTATGCAGCCCATCACGTGCCAGTTACGGCTCTAGGTGTGGGGAATACTGAGCACGAGGTGGGCACCCCTACCCTTGTAATGATTACATTCTAATGGGGTGGACAAAATAAATTGTGGTCTTAGAAGATCAGGGATGCACAAAAATATATGGAAGTGCTGGGATTTGCAAGTTTAAAGATGGTGTGCCACATTGAAAGATGACATTTTACTGAACAAAGACTTAAAGGTAAATGGGAAGTGAGCCATGTCTGGGGAAAGTGTTCTGGGCCAAGAGAACTTGTCTGTGAATGCATACGTGCCCTGGCAGGTGTGTCCGAAGGAGGACACGTGTGCCTGAGGGTGTCTGGTTGGCCCTATGTGATCACTGGTGCTAGTGTGCACACATGCCGGGGCGTGTGACAGTTCAGACCAACAGCGACTGTCTGGCATGTTTTACTATGCTCACCGTGCTCAGGTCTTCCCAACTGTCATCTCTCATTTCACCCTTGTAACAGCTCCAGAAGAGAGTTGTTATTTCCATTTTATAGATGAGAAAACTGAGGAGTGTGTAATTTGGGATGTTGCTGTGTCATAGAGTCCTGCCCCTACACTGATGTCATGTGGGTGATCATGATACTATGCCCTTGTGCACGTATGTGGCAGGGCATTTTGACATTGCTATACATGTCTCCTGTGTATATAAGTGGCAGAGCTCATTTGTCATTCTCTGAGCAACTGGCAGAATGTAATTGCCAAGATGTACATTTTGTTCTGTTTTTTTGAGACAGGGTCTCATGTAGCCCAATCTGGCTTGAAACTCTCAATTCTCCTGCTTCTGCCTCCTGAGTGCTGGGATTATGGATGTGAGCTACCACACTCAGCTCGATATACCTTTTCTTGATGTACATGTGACACTAATCATGGCTTAAGGTGACTGTCCAGGGCCTATGGTGGCAACAGCATGCCTGTGGGTGTGTTTGGGTGTGGCGCGATGTTCCCAGGTGTGAGAAAAACACCGACTCAGTGACTGACATTGTTCTTTTTGGACAATCCCTGCAGCCACCTAAGATGTCAGGACAGGCAGGAATCAGAAACTGGGAATCAGAGCCAGTGAGGGGACAGCCGAGGGAGGAGAGCTTTGTCCTCCACCTTCTGGCCTCTTGTGCTCCCCAAGCAGCACCCCCACACACACCATTTCCACCAGATCAAGTGCCAGATGGGGAAGCAGCAGCTGTGTGGACTTGGAGAAGGGCACTCCCAAGCAGGTACATGATGTGCTGGCCCCTTCAGAGCCACTTTCTGCCCTTCTGCTCTGCCCTGAGGAGGCTGTCTTCTAGGCATGGCATCAATGGCTCCCTTGTTCCTTGGCTTCCTGTTGTGTTTAACAATGAGAGGCCCCAGCAGGAGACTGAATGGAGAGGGTGTTTATTCTCCCTTTTCCCTTCCTACCAGGTTGTCATGGTTGGTCACATCCCTCAAGGAAGGCCACTGCTCTGGCAGTGACCCTCACCCGGCTGCCACCCCACCCTTTCAAGCCAGGAACTGTACAGGCTTCCCATCCCTGGGAACCTGGAAAGCTACACCACCCCTAGTTAGTTTCTTTCCATCTTTTCTATTTCCTTCCCTTAGCTTCCTTTTTGTCTCATCTCTCATTGTTAAGGAATCAAACCCAGGGCCTTGGGCATACTAAGCAGGTGCTCTACCACTGAGCCACAACCACCACCCCTATGTTAGTCTCTTCCTGCCAGGCTTGGTGGTACACACCCATGATCCCAGCACTAAGGGAAACAGGAGAATCTTAAGTTCAAGGCCAGCTTGGGCTATATTGTGAGACCATGACTCGAAAGACAAGCCACTCTTCCCAGTTTGCCTGTGCCCTGTCATCTTGTGGGGACCCTGATGGACAAGTGGGTCCACATAATCAGACAACCGCTGCAGGCCATCATGTTGTCACAGACGCACAAACCTATATAATGTATCCTGGTGCCATAGTCTCACACATCCCATCCTATCCCATCCCGTAAGTTTCACATCACACACCTTGGGAGACTTCCAGGGGAGGGTCAGCTGTGAGCCAGCCTCTAAACCAGTCAATAGGCCCAGATTGCCACACTGGGCAATGCTGCTCAAGGCAGTCAACTGAAAGAGCTGTGATAGCCACACACAAAGCAAAGGCAGCAAGGACACTTGCAAAGTGAACCTCAAAGCCACACACCTCAGACTTACATTATTGAGATTTATTCTTCCAGAACACATACATCTGGGGACTGATTTAATATACATTCACTTTGTAGAATTCTGCAAGTCTGGGCTGTGTGCCCCCTGCCCTCTGTATCAGGATACTTGAATACACGCGTTTCCTTTTTGCATTTAAAACTTTGGAAGTTTTATGTTGCCACCACCTCTTCCTGAGAAAGAGGTGTGTCCCTCCAAGGACACAGGCAGCAGCTGATTGTGAGAGGCCACAGGCATGCCCCCAGGTGGGGAGGACAAGGACAGTGGGTGAGAGAAACAGGCATTTCTTTGACTAATGTTTCTCATTCAAACAGGCCTCCTAGTGCTGTTAAGACTAGGAAACAATGACATCTACCCAAATAGGGACTCTAGATGTGCTGTGACTTGTTTAAGATGACTATCCTTAAAATAAATCTTTTTCATTGTCACACTGGAAATGTTTGCTGACTCTCGAATAATCCGATTGCATCTCAGGCCCTGTGGGAACATCTCTAATTGTACAGTGTAAGCAAAGTCCAATGTACTGTATGCAAAGAAATTCAGAGCATGGACAATCCCCAGAGCCCAGCCCTGTGAAGAGAGGGCTCCGGACAGGACAGTGCTGAGGTTGGGGAGGGCCAATTCTAGAGGTTTTCCTGAAGGTGATGTCCAGGGAAGAAGCAGAATCCAGGAGTCCAGATCCAGAGTGGAGGCTTGGAGGAGCTGAAAAGAATAATTCCAAGAGCCTTGATTACTTCTTTCCCACAGCTACCCAGCTCCACCCAAACCCTTCACCATCTGCCTCCTCAAGAGGAGTCGGTGCAGGAGAGCCAGTGCAGAAAACGATACTATGGAATGAGGGACGCAGAGGCTCCCTGGGCTTTTGTCCTTGGCTAGAATCCCCACTGGCCTGAGCAGCTGGAATGGAATGTTCCTGGGATGAAAAGCCTGCCCCTCCTCCACCTCTCCCCTTATGGAGCTCCCCAGGGCTGGGGCAGGAGGGGTTGTTCCAGGGATTCCCGATATGGCCATACTCTAGAGAAAGCCAAAGCCCACTCTGCCCACTGATGAGATGTTTCCTTGGCCTAGACAGAGTGGCTCCATCATTCACAGATCTCCACTATGTGCTAGGCAATACCCAGAAGTTAGCTCCTCCCTAGCTCCCCCTTCCCCAAAATACAAAACCAAACAAGAAACTGACTCAGAAAAGGGAAGTCATTGCCCAAGGTCCCCCAGGTACAAAGATCTAGGTCAGGATTGAATCTCAGGTCGGTTTTGTTCCACCCAGGGCTCTTTTTACTTGCAATGGAGCATATTACCCTCCTGTCCTACCATCCCAGGCACCAAACATTCCAGCTCAGGTCTTCAGGGATAGGAGGCAGCCCTCCAAAGCACCCCCTGGTCCTGCACAGAGTCTTGACCATCCCTGGCCCACCCTTGCCACAAGCTAGGTGTGTTGACTCAGTCTGACTCATCCCCCAATGCCTAGACAACCAGGCTGGGGTGTGCCGGGCCTAGAGGGGGGCACAGGACACACACTGCCACCCCTGCAGTGCCTCCTACATCCTTTCCCTGAACCAAGGACCAGCCTGAAAGGTGAGAGCCCAGAGACACACCCCCACACAAACAACAGAGCCCTCAGCATGCTGAATATAGCACCCATAGCCCAATTTCTTTGGGGGTTCACTTATAGGTTCTGTATCTTTGGGTAAGTTTCCTGCCCTCTCTGACCCTCAGCCACCTCACAGTGAGGAGTTTCTGGGAAAACAAACATAATGGGTGTAAAGTGCTTAGCACAAGGCCTGGCATGAAGGAGGTGGTTAATTCCAGAACCAAGGGTTCCCTTCTCCCATCACTCCTGGCCAAGGTGCAGTCAGGGACTAATGAGGGAAGAAATAAGTTGGGAATCTCCAAACTTCCCCAAATACTTCCTCCCCTACAAAAGTAAGCACTGAAGCACGGAGTCTCTCCTTCAGCTCTGAAATGGCTGGCCACCTGAGTGGTTCTCAAGGGATCAGGCGAGTGGATCTTCCTGATGCATCTCATCTGGATACTCACTTCAGCCTAATCTCTAGGAGGCCACTTTGGTTGGTAGTGGCAGGCCAGGTGTTCTGGTGAATAGCAAAATAAAGCGGGCTTTTATTCAGACAGCAACAGGGGCAACTTCTTTCTTGGAAGTCTTCCTAATGTATCTTCTCCCAGAGTTACAGGGCTACCTTTGCACACCTTCTCCAAGAGGATGCCTAGCCCTAGGGACCTGGTGATGGGTACAGCTAGGGCCTCAAGCCACGCTCACCCAGAAAGCTATCACTGTAACTGCACCACCACCCATGGGCTGTGGAGACCCCTTGCAGCTCAAATTAGGAAGCTCTAGAACAATCTGCAAGGAGATGGTTGAGGGAGGGGCCACAGGGACAGAATCCACTCCAGGCCACGCCCTCCCATCTCACAAAGCAGCCCCACACTGCCCTCTGGTGGCACATACAACTGAGGTCACAGAAGAAAGGGGCTCAACTACGTGAGCTACTGGTTTGGCCCCAGGCTGAAAAAGGCTCCTGTTTCTCTTTCATTTGCTAAGAGCCCAGATTTACTGGTGGACATCAGTGTCCTTAATGCCAGAAACAAAACTGTTCTGGCTGCAGCCCTATGCCACCACCTAAGTTCCCTTGCTGTGTCACAGATTCTCAAGACTCCTAAACTCAGTCCAGTCTGCCAGGATGGGAGCTGTGAGTTCAGGTCAGCCTTAGCTATATAGTTAAGTTCAAGACCAGCCTACCCTATATACTGAGACCTGTTTCAAAAACAAAAAGTATTCAGGAAGTAATAGAGGGAAGGGGAAGAGTCTGTCTCCTGCCCAGAGGCTAGAGTTATTAGCAGAGGTCTAACAATAGCCCTCCAGCTGTTGGCCAGTGGCTAACACCTGTAATCCCAGCTACTTACTTGGGAGGTTGAGATAGGGAGGATCTCAGTGTGAAGCCAGCCCAGGAACATGAGTTCATGAGACCCCCATCTCCAAAATAACTAGAGCAAAATGGACTGGAGGTGTGACTCAAGCAGTAGAGCGCCTGCTTTGCAAGCACAAAGGCCTGAGTTCAAACCCAGTCTCATCAAACAAAAAATAGCCCTCTAAAAACAGATTGCCCAGTCCCCAGAGAAATCTCCTAGGATGGTGACGGTCATAGAAGACTGCCTGGAGGAGGTCTGGGAGATATAAGCTCTTAAAAGCAAAGATCTGGGCTGGTGGAGTGGTTCAAGTGACAGAGCATCTGCCTAGCATGCATGAGGCCCTGAGTTCAAACCCAACACCACCAACCACCCCCCCGCAACCCCTGCGCCCCAGGAAAAAAAAAAAAAAGACCCTCTGCTCTCTGATTCAGGTTTCTTCCCGAAACCCCTGTCGTGAGTCTATATCAAGATTTGTTGATTGAGGAGAAAATGGAACCAGGCAGGGGAGCTTCTAGACTGGGTTCTGGGTAGACCAGGCAGAGGAAGGAAGGTGACATTCGTTAGTTGCTGAGGAGTAGTGGACAGAGCACTAGTCAGTAGCTGAGATTCAATTCACTGAGCTCTGTGTGCTCTGGCCAGGCCTTTGGTGGGAGTAGTGTGGCATCCAGAAGGAGGAAGAAGGAACAGAGCTGCCTGTGACACTAGGACCACTCTTCATATACCCGCAAACATACACCTTTCTCCAGCAAGTGCCATCTCTAATTCTCTGCCCACCCACCCTCCCCACCCACCAATTGGGACAAAGCTGATTACCAATAAATCCCAGAGAAAGGCAAAATTGATGGCATACAATATGCCTTTAGCTAAAAGCTTCTCTAAACTAAATCCCCCCCTCCCTTGCAACCCAGAAAAAATATAGTCCTGGCCCAGTGCTTCGACCTGAGCTCCCTCACTCTCTCACCACCAGCAATTCCTATACTGAGCCTCTGGACCCCAAATGACCAGAGTGGCTTTGGAAGGTCCTTCCTCTCTGGGAAGGCCAGAATATGCCAGCACCTCCAGCACTGCTCCCTGACCCCCAGGATTTCTCAGAAAGACTGAGATCTCCTCCTCACCCTCCCTTCCTAAGGAGTTCAAGAAGTCCTGGCTTCAGCTGAGAAATCAGCAATAAATTTGGTACCTGGAGAGAGGAAGGGCTGATGGGGGAGGGTCAGGAAAGAATCTCTGACGTCATCAATCGTACATGACCTTCAGGACTCACCGGATTAGACTGCTTCCCATGGCTTTGACATTGTCATCCTCCCCTTTTACTCCATGCTCAAGCCCTGACGTGAGGAGGGACAGCTAGAGTCAGAGAGAATGACTGCAGATACAGGCCCAGAGAGGGGCAGAGTTGGTGTGTCACATAGTAGACAGGGCCCAGATGTCAATCTCCCTAGCCCAGCCTAAGATACTATGGGAGGGCACCCACAGGCCTGGCATCTGGTCCTCTCCCTCTCTGGCATGTGACCTTGAGAAATCCCCTCTCCAGTCTGTAAAGTGGGGACTTTAAATTAGCACCTAGGGATGGAGGTGTGGCTCAAGCAGTAGAGAGCTTGCCTTGCAAGTGTGAAGCCCTGAATTCAAATCCTAGTCACAGCTTAATTAGCTCTTGGCTCCTGAGCAGAAGCAGCACTTGTTTCTGAGTGACTTAAGAGTAAAATACCTTCCATGACTTACAGTGGAAGGTGACAGTTTTCTGCCTGTGTTAACTAGCCACAGTCCTTCCATTTGAAATAGCAATACCACTTCACCCACTGACAAGTGGGGCTGCAGTTAGCTGAGAAGCAAAGCTGTGGCTAGGCCACTCAGAGCTGAGTGGAGGCAGGGGAATGGGGAACTGAAGGGCATCTGAACAGGAAGCAGCAGATGGCATTTCCAGTCTGGCCCTTTAAGACCCCCATTCTGGAAGCTGATGCCATACTTGCCCCTTGGGGCAGTTAAAGAGAGCCACCTGGCTTAATCCCTGGCAGAGTCATCTTAGAGATGGGTTGAGAGGGGCCTCTAGGTGAGCAGGTGCCAATCACCCCAGCCTGGTTATCTCAGGCTGTGGTCTCAGGGAAGCTGCTATGCATGAGAAAAGCTGTAACCTAGAAGCAGAAGGGTCCAATTACGAAGGGGACATCCTCAGCGTTTCTGGGATTCTCTCTCCCCAAATGGGAAACAAAAGGCTCGGGTGAGGAGAATTCAGTCATATAGCCCTGCACCTGGGACCTCATTATTCTGCCCTCCCTAAGGTATGGAGCTGGGCGGTGCCAGAAAGCAGTAGCCTCAAGGACAAGCCTTCTTACAGCCCCAAGGAACTCAGGAAAGGCAAGGCAAGTGCAGATGAGTGTGGAGGTTGTTCCAGCCGTACAAGGGTTCCAACTGGTAAAAGTTAGCCACCAAATCCTTCCTGGAGCTCAGCACCCTCCATACCCAACTCTATTAGGAGACTTGGTGCTACCACCTAACCCCAGGTGGCCCGGGAGAGGAAGCTGCGGGAAATGGACAGCAAGATACCAGAAGCCCCAGGGAAGGGAGATAGCGGGTCCCGAGCCCCCTCATACACACTCCACTCCTGAAAGCATCAGCCACTGACACCGCACCTGTCTCCTTTACTGGATCCCTGGCCCCCCTCGACTGTCTCTTCCTGCTGTCAGTCCGTCTGTCCATCCGCGGAGGTGACGCCGTCATCTGTAGTCCGTCGGTGAGCACCTGGACGATGGCTTGTCGGGGTGGCCAGGGGTCCCGGCGCTGAGGTCAGCGCTGGGGGGAGGCGGGGCCGCGCGGCGGGCTGCGGCGGAAGGGCGAGTCCGGCTCAGGGCCGTGGCCGCGCCGCAGCCGTCCGGCACCCCACGGCACGCAGCTGCCCAGGCCGAGCGCGGAGGCCAGCAGCGCTGGCGGGCGGCCCCGGCGACCGCGGCGGGCGCCCTTCTTCAGGCGCGACCCGTGAGCGGCCAGGTAGAGCTCGGCCTGTGCCACGCCGCCGCTCAGGCGGCTCAGGCTCTCGGCGCGGTGCGCCAGGCGCAGCTCGGCCGCCAAGAAGACTCGGTGCAGCTGCAGCACGCGGCTCTCCAGCTCCGACACCAGGCGCCGGCGGCCCTCCACTTCCAGCAGGCGCCGCCGCGCTTCGGCCAGCTCTAGCGCGCGGCCCCCCGTCCCAGCCGCCGTGCCGGAGCCGCCGCCTACGCCCCCACTAGCGCCTTGGCGCCAACGCTGCAGCTCCTGACCCTCGGCCGTGCCCGCTGGCGCCGGGGCAGCCTCTTCCCGCAGCCGCGGCGACTGACCTGGGGTAGGGGTCAAGGTCGGAGTTGGGGGCGGGGGCTGAGGGGACGGCAGAGGCTCCCGGGGCTGAGGAGGGGGGGACCCCGGTTCTGCCGTCCCTTCCTGGGCCCCTGGGCCGCAGGCGCTGATGCGGCAGCCCGGCATCCCCCGCCCCCCGGCGGCCTGAGTCTGTCTGTCCGCAGGGAGGATGGACGCTAGCCACGAGAAGAGAAAGAGGCGGCCGCAGCGCCCACGCCAGCGCCGCACCCGCCGCCGGTACGTCTTATAGACCACGGGGCGGAGCGACGGGCAGCACAGCCAATCAGAAACTGGTATGACCTGAGTCCGCTCCGCCTTCACCCCACGCGTCCCCCCAAACCTTTAGGTCCCTGGTCCTTCGCCTCCTCGGATCCCCACAGCTTCTCCCCAAACTTTGGGTGGAAAGTGGGCAAGCTTCATTTCCCTGGACCCTCAAAGTCATAAGGTTTGGTGGCTGGTGCTTAGAAGTCATAGAATCCACTCTCCACCTGGGGGACGGTTTTGCCTGAGACCCCCGCGTGAAAGTGAGAGCCTGGACTAGAACTCAGGAGGCATGATTCATTGAGCAGTGCTCCTTCCCATACGTCACACTGATTCCTGGCAGTCAGTTCTATCTGGTCTTCTGGACCACAGGGCGCCAGAACCTCCTCCCATTTTCCTGGGTCTGTGGAGGTGCTTAAGCAGATTGGTGTCACCGGGAGAATGGGCACCTGACTGGGTTGGTTCCACACCAGTCAGGCCCTTCCCTTGCAAAACAGTTACCCTAGTGCTGCCTCTGAGCGTGCAAACCTTGGTGGCAGGAGTCCCGAATCCCAAGTTCTTCTCCTGCCTCTACCCTGCCGCTGTGGGCTCCTCCCAGCAGGTGTTCCCACACCTTTTACTTGGAGGGAAAAAAGACTCAGGGTGCAGGGATGCCTTGCCCAAGGTCAAATTGCGGGTTGGCGGGCTGCGCAGAAATGAACCAGCTAGTCATTCATGCCTTGGTGGTGGGGAACAGGTATCAGATACCTAGGTCTCCTCCCCGTTGTGAAGGGACCATCCATATTTGGAACTTCAGTCATCCTGGTAAAATAAAAGCACTGAGCCCTGCACATTTTCCCCGCGGCAGAAGTGGCGCTGATATTCCCCTTCCAAACACTGGCCCGAACACCACGCCCTGCCTCATTTCATGTGGTTGAAGGTGCATTAGAGATGGGAGGTGTCCACGGTGGGAGGACAAGATCTGGAGGGCCGGATACCAATCGATTGGGAGGGACTGCAGCAGACCCTGGGCTGGGGAGGACCTGCCAAAGGTGTGGCAACTAGTGCCCCATCCTGAAGAGGAGGAAGGCTCTGGCTTGAGAAGGAAGAGAGCCTCATCCCCTCCCCCATGTTCTCTAAGTGTTTACAGGTGCTCTCGACTGAGTGATGGGGACTCGTGGGCGAGACAGCACGGCTCCAGAGAGGCAGCTCAGCAGGGCCTCAGAGAGGGGGTGGGGGGCGGCTCTAGGCCCAGCGAAGAGGAAGAGTCCTCTCAGAGAGACGACTCAAAGGGAGTCGGTGCCCGGTGACCTGGAGGAGTAGTGGCTCCACAGGGGAAGGGGAGGGGTTTGGAGAGAGAAGTCAATAAGGAGGAGAGCCTTTCAGCGCAGTTATAGGACCCAGCCAGGGGGCTGGCATTTAATGAGCACAAAAATGCAGGAGAAGGGCTCAGGTGAGGTCTGGAAGGATCAAGGCATGGGGAGTCAGGGAGTCAGAGGGGCTCAGTGAGGATGAGGGAGGCTCAGGAGTTATCAGGTTGCTCCAGGAACACCTTGCAAATGGTGACATTCCTTTGAATACTCTCTTTTGTGTCTCCCAACCTTGGGTCTTTCTCATTGCAAAAACCTGCCACCCCCATCAGAGTGGGAAGATTGACAGGTGTTTTGCCTGCATCAGGCAGATCTGTTCCCAAACCCCTTGGGGATGAATCCAGGAGATCAAGAGCAGGATTTAACCCCACCCCCATCATCAGTTAGATCCAAAGAACCAGTCAGCTCTGGCTTCAAAACACCCATACCCCCACCCTCCCAACCCCTGCCCCCACCCCGCCTGTCCTTCCGGGTGACTTCAGCACTAATTTCTATGAGTGGGAGGAGATGCTTAATAAATATTTACTCAGGGCTGGAGGTTAGTAGAAAAACTTGAGCAGAGCCCTGGTTCAATCTCTAGCACCACAGTAAATAAACAAACATTTACTGAATAAATCAATGTTCTCTATCTCCTCACATCATCCCTTAGAGAGAGGGATTAGCAGCTTTTTCATCCTGATGAGAAACCAAAGCCTGCTAGGTGCATACCAGTAATCCTAGCTACTTGGGAGGTGAGATTGGGAAAATCAAGGTTCAAGGCCAGTCTGGGCAAAAAAACTCCAGTACCTATCTGCAAAATTAGTTATTAGTTATGCAAAAATGGCTTAGGGGTGTGGTTCAAGTAGTAGAGTGCTGCCTGCAAGCTCCAGGCCCTGAGTTCTAAAAACCCCAGTATGGCCAAAAAAGAAAAGAAAAGAAACCAAAGCCACTCAGAGTCACCTCTTTCTCCCTTGTTATTCTCCAACCATAGTCTCTGTTCCCATTCTCTATGGTATTCACCCAAGTTATAGATAACTATGTATTCATTCATTGTTTAGTTACCATATCTCTTCCTAGACTGGTTTGCTTACACTAGAATCCCCTGAGATTAAGTAGAGTGCTTGGTTGTATAAGGCATTCAATAAGCTTTTTTTCCCCAGTGCCAGGGATGGAACCCAGGGTCTTGCACATATGAGGTAACTGCTCTACCACTGAGCTACACCCACAGCCTAATAAACATTTGTTTGAATTAACAAACAATGCAAGGGCAGAGCTTGCTGCGAATGGAGAAGTCCCTTTCTCCATCCATTCATTTATTCATAATATGTAGTCTGAGCTGGCCTCAAATTTGAGATTCTCCTGCCTCAGCTTCCTGAATACTGGGATTATAGGTGTGCACTACCTAGTCCAGTGCTTCATTGGTTTTTTTTGTTGGTGGTTTACTTTCACTCACCACCTGATGGTCACCTGGGCTGACTGCTGGGAGGTACAGTATTGACTGAATGGGCCCTGCCCTTAGTGAGGATAGGGGTAACACAGATAGGTGATGGCAGTTTGGTGAGATTTCTACTGGTAAAAAGGAAATACAGAGGCTGCAGGAACACAGAGTTCAATAAAGCGAGCTGGGTGGAGATGCTCTGGGGGTTCCAACATGTCAGGTCCAGCCACTTCCCCAAAGAAAGCAAATGGAATTAATGGCGAAAAAACAGGAAAGGATTTTAGTCAACATATCTATGTTGGGAAGATGAATGAGATTAAATATCTCAGTTTTAGGTTTAAATAGAGGAAGAATTAGGGCAGAGGGTGAGAGGTCTGCATAATTAAACAGTCTTGGTCAAAGTGTGGTCTGTCTGATCATTATCTCAGTTCTGGTTCTGCAAGGTGGTTCTGAGAGGTCCTTATTGCTTGAGGGATTGATCCAGTTCTCATGAAATGATTGCTGCAACTGAGGGGTGACTTTACCATATAGTGATTTGTCTGTGAATCTCTGCTGTTCCTGGAGTCCAAGGTGACTGGACAATGACTGGAGACTTTCAGGTGATCTTTTGAGGGTCTGGAATAGGACTTTGTATAAGCTGACAATGAGATTGCCTCAGTTACTCTAATCTCTGTGCCTTCCAGGGAATGAGATAGGGTGGGTACTGAAATAGTCCTAACAGTACCAGCAGTTTCTAGACAGACACTCCGTGAGTGATTAACATGCCGATGTGCCAAGTTAAACAGAATTCTGACCCCAAAGCCTTATGACAAAAGAGACAGGTACAAAATGAAGGCAAGGATGCCAGGCTTTCATCCTGCTCTTAGTTACCTTGTGGGCCCAGGTGAGGAGGAGTCAGTGCTTTTTTTTCAGAAAAGTGAGGAGTAAGTGTTTTTTCTAAGTACCTGTTGTTAGCAATAATGGCGCCGATAGGTTTCGGTTCTTACTGCACCCTTAAGCTTCCATTTCCCAGGGTCACGGTCCTGCCTCAAGTCTAGCCTGAATCCTCCTTCTGCCCCAACCTCCAATCAGCATGAACCATAAGATCCTAACCAATCAGATCATGCTGAGTCCCACTGAGGGGTATTTAAGCCCCTGCTCTCTCTCTCTCTCTCTCTCTCTCTCTCTCTCTCTCTGCTCTCTCCCTCTCCCACCCAGCAATAAAGAATCTCTTGGCCAGATCACTCCTCTCCATGTGGTCATTTTGGGGCCCACATTTCCAACACCTGTTATAGACAGCCCATCAAACTCAACATTTAGAATGGGGGAATCCTTTTTAAACTATTATGATTATTATGTTTTTCTGATCTTTATAAAAGTTATAGATCCTTTTATAGAAAAGGAAGAAAATACAGAAAAGCTGGGTGCCAGTGGCTCATGCCTATAATCCTCAATACTCAGGAAGCAGAGATCAGGTGTATCACTACTTGAAGCCAGCCCTGGCAAATGGTTCAAGAGACCCTATCTCGAAAAAAAACCCATCACAAAAAAAGGGCTAGTGGATTGGCTCAACGTTTAGGGCCTAAGTTCAAGCCCCAGTACCACAAAAAAAAAAAAAAAAAAAAAAAGTAGAGAAAATACTAGAATATTAAAAAGAGAGAGAGAGAGAGTAAAGGGGCCTGGAATCACAGAGACCTGTGTGTGGACTAAACTTCAGTCCTTCTAGGTGTACAACCCTGAGAAAGACACTTTTCTTCTCTGAACTTCAGGTTCCTTATCTGACAAATGGAACCACTAATGCAGGACATTGATAGATAAAAAGATTTCTCCCAAGATCTTGTGAACTGCTTATATTCAGCTGACTCAAAACCTGTGGTCTGAGTAGAAAACCCTAGAAGTGAAGCAGCTGCCTGGACCTGATTCCAGAGTCCTATCCTGTGTGTAACACCCCCTCCCAGGAGACCAGCCAGCTGAGGCAGGGCCTTGTGGAGTGGGCAGCAAATGTGGCTGTGACCCCAGCTGGATCCCCCCCATCAGCTGAGAGCAAGCTGGGGCAGAGATTCAAGGCCTGAGGACTCCACTTCCATCCCAACCTCAGCTAAGAGACCCAGCCCCTCCCTTTCAGTCTCTTCCTGGCAACCTGGCCTGGCACCCTCTAGGATGTGATCACAGTTTAATAATTTAGCAGATGCAGAC